CTAATATTAATTTAAAACTTCCTTGTGCAGTGCTAGGTAAGTAGGTATTTATCCGTGCGCCCTGTAACACTAGGTCGGAGCTTAATGTAGGATTTTCGGAAAGCCGTGCAAAAATTTCTCACGTCCACTCGGCACTTCGTCTTTTGGGGAAAACTCAGGTGCTATACAATGGCTTCACCCCTCTCCCGAAGGAGAGGCATTGCCTGGATATTAATTGCAAGCGTATCCAGCTGGTGTCAGGTAAATATTAAACTAGGTTTAATATGATCCCCAAGCCTCATACCGGGACAGTCTGGTATCATACAAGAAAACTAGACCTATAATAAAAATTGAAAAGTATTTAAGCTTCAAGGATGACACGGGTAGCATGGAATTCTTATCAGGGAATACTATAGGTTTAATGTCACGAATCTAGTGACCTCAGTACATACTGGGTTCACTCAGAGATATACCAAAGTAAGCTTTGTAAATGGTGTCATTTCAGAACGTGAAACGTCTTAGGTGTCTCGATGGTTAACTTAAAAGGTACCTTCATAGTCATCAAGTACAGAAACGGACCGGAAATGATGTCGGTTGGTGTGCTGACATAAACAGGAAATGAACCCGGTTGCTTCTGTTGTTAATTGTTCATCACCCTTAATTAAATCTCGAACAGCATCGATGTTTTTCTCACAAATTGATGTTGATGGTCTGCAGTTACGTTCGTCATCTTCAACTCCATCTCATCCTTTTTTAAACGAGTTAACCATTTAAAACTTGCTGCATTATGCCCATAAAGTTTTCTTCGGTTACTAATAATGTTCACCGTTTTCGAACCATGTTTATTATAAATTAGATGCTTTTAGTTGCTTTAATTTTATCAGTATTCATGCTGCTCGAAAGAATATATTTTTAAACTCGTGTAAATTTCAATCTGTTACATTGAGATATTTCCGGTTTATATAGGTGACAAAATGGAAGTCTAATTTTAATTTTTTCTTATAACAGGATTTTTGACATCGAACCTTATGAATGCCAGAACACACATATATATATATATATATATATATATATATATATATATATATATATATATATATATATATATCTATATCTTACAATCGGAATTAACACACCATTATGTAAATGATCATTTTCACCTTGTAAATAAAGGTCAGACAGGAGAAAGAAGGAAAGGAAGAAAAGGAAAATGAGGAATAGAAAGGAAGGAAGTGTAGCAAAGGAAAACAGGAAGTTGTGTAAGTCTTTATATGAGTGATGCTCAGTGGGGCTTTGTTTATTTCAATAATTTATCATCCATTGATTGTTTGAAGTATCCTGTAAATTTAATTTTACAAGGTGAAAATGATAATTTACATAATGGTATCTTATGGTATCTTAATTTCCATTGCATGATATATATTGGTCTGCTTATTAAAAAACATTGAGTTGTATGCGTGAATCAGTTTTAAAACTTAATATTTAATTTTATATTGTGTTAATAGGATTCACTTGGATTATATACCAACGGATTACTACATATATATATATATATATATATATATATATATATATATATATATATATATATATATATATATATATATCCCGAGAATTTCAGCGTACAATATTTTTATGAAGCTGAGTCAGAAGTAGTTTCTGTGTTGAACAGCCAATTGTTAGCTGGTTGATTTAACGGCATATCAACACCTTATGGGTCATTTAATGTCGAAATTTAATTTTGTGGGGAGCTTTGAAGTAATATGTTAGTCTGCTTTCACAATTTAATACATAGTAGATGATACTTAACTTTTAGGCCCATACAATTTTGTGTGGATATCATTAGATGCGATGAGATGCGTGTTTCCTGTTGCAGTTATATTTTGCACTACAGTTTCATTTAAGAAGTTGTGGGATATTATATCGATTAATGAATTAAGGAAAGAGTTTATTCACGTTAGTTGTTTGGTTGATTTTGTTTGACTACATACCAACCACTATGGGTTATTTAATGCCGACATCTAAATTATTTGAACACAATTTTATATTTTCAACTATATAGATATTTAAACGCAGTTGTATGCTACAGATAAAATGTATTGCAGGTCATTTTGCTTTAAAAATGTGTTGTTGGTTATTTTTCTATATATATTGTTTTATACTTTTATAGTGTTTTGTTTGGTGGTTACCTATTCCTGGGACCCTAACAATTACTACCACCCCGGGTCAGGGTGGACCTGGGAACAATAGTGATTAAGAGGCCGTTTCAGGCTCCTCAAAGCCTCCAATCTCTCGATCAGAAAGAGCCAATTGTAATGACTAAGGTATCATTCCAACTATTAATCAGGTGTACATTTGGAGTACACTAACATGCCTTAGCGGCAGTGGCAATGGCAGCGTACACCGGGGATTAAATAAAAATGTTGTTCTTCTCTATGACAACACATGATCACAAGAATAACACAGGAAACCTTTTTGGAACTCGATTCTACCCCACCTACCATATTCGCTTGATGTTGCATCAAACGATTATTACCTTTTTCGATCGCCGCAAAACGTTTTGATGAGGAAACCTTTCCTTAATACAAACCAAATCCAAAAGTTCTTCGAAAGCCTTTTCACATCAAAACCTGTGGAATTTTAATGAAAAGATAAAAGTGCTACCTGTATTATTCGGTCGAGTTAGCTCATACATTCTTGATTCTATCATGCAAACCACCATGGCCCTGCACCAAGGTCGGAAGGTCATTAGGGAGGCATTCTGCGTCATAACATAGCTGGTCAATATAGATGGTTGCAGTGCGACCAACTCGTCTTGCTCCATGGTTAGTTGTCCAGAACAGTAGCTCACTCGTGAGTTCTTGTTTTGCTCGCCAGCAATGTCCTGAAAAGCGCATTCTGCGCTCGCGTAAGATTGTAAAAATGTCCATAGAGCTGTGATTTAGTTGGATGTTGTCTCCAAGAGATGTCATGTATAGCATTCGAGTGTAGGTTCCATCAAGCTGAGACTATAGGGTTTTAATTAATGTCCATCTTCTATCTGACCTTTCCTTATTACGTTTTCTGCCCACTGAGTAGCAGTCAAGCAACCTTTTGCTCCATCTGTTACCGTTTTTTTTTTCTTTTTGATAATTGTCCCACTCATCTCCATATTTGTAATTTAATCCCTTCTAGGGTGTCTCTGATCAATGCTGGTCACTTTTCTCTCTAGTAGAGGTATTCCTAGCAATATCCTTTCTATTGTTTTTACAGTTTTGAGTTTGTTTTCAAAAGATTTAGGTAATTTCTGTGTCTCACATCTGGACACGATAGTTGGCCGCTATCTAAGGCAACCGGGCCAAGTCTGGTCTGTTATTAACCCAAAGCTGGAGTCATGTCTTTTTAAGGTCATTAGCACGAAGTGAACGAACCAGAAACGACCGAATTTCGAACATCGGCTCGCCGATAATATTTACATTCCACGTGCATTCCTATCACTTTATATATATTGTTACGAACTTGTAGCATATAGGTGAACCACGGGTTTAAAAAAAGGAAAACGTGGGACCCTTTCTCGGTTTTCACTCAGGAATGGAAGCGACACAAGGGAGTCAAAGAAGAACAGACGCAAAACGATCGATTTCAAAATAAAACATTTATTTATAAATATATAAACAGGTAAAGAAAGAAAAAAGAAAATTCATGTAACAAAGGGAAAGGAAATCATGAAAGAACAGAAGCAGCGAGCGAATCCATACATATATAAAAAATGATCAAGCCAAGAGAATCAACTTATCTGTCAGTCAAGTTGATATTTCCACACATAATTTTGATTCACCGAAGCGAGAGTTCTTATGTTAAAACAATATTTTGGTCGGCCGGCATTTTTCCTGGGTTCCTTTCGAAAATGTTCGGGGTCCGCAGCATCTTGTACAGGTGTTTCGTTGGTCGATTCAGTTTCGTAGCAGTCCTTTCATCTCTAGTTGACAGACTTTGCTGTCTTCTTCATTTCAGTAGGCAGTCCATTTGGAATCGGGACGATGTTTATCTACCACTGGTCAGACGGAAACTGAAAATCCTTTTTTAGATTTTTACTGTCCCCAAAGACAATCACGTGGATTCTCTTCGTCCTTGACCGGGGACACAGGAGGATAGAGCGCAAATCACGAAGTGTTTGCGTGATGGCCAAAAATTCAACCAACCCTCAGCAGAGTCTGATCACGTGAATCGTAACAGGAGATCTTGATGGTGCCTGGAATTCACTTATGGTCAACCGCCTGATGGCCGCGGGATTTTGGAACCAGTTCATTCTCGCGTCGGGTCGCTTCAAAGTTCACGGGCCCTTTGCTTTTGGCTAGAAGAGTAGGGAAAGAGGGAAAGAATTTGTGAAGAAAAGAGAAGGGTATGGCTGATCATAGAACAAACTGAAAGCATTGGATTTTATCTATTTTTATTTATTTTTTTATCTAACTATTTTTCGACTAGAATTTAGGATTTTTCTTTGAGGTGCTTTTTAGCCTTACGCCTATATGGTTAATGAAATCGTAGGTAGGTCACAATATATATATATATATATATATATATATATATATATATATATATATAGATATAGATATAGATATATGATAGGATAGGATATATGATAGTATTACGACTATACTTGTAGTATATATGATAGTATCCGAAACAAAAAAATGGAGATGATGTATAACGTCTACCCCGGCCGCTCCTTCTTCAAGTTCGATCCTCTCGGCTGATCGTAGAGTTGATCATTTCGGCCCGTCTTGTCTCGCCCCACGTTGTGTCAATTGATCGCAAGACTGGCTTGGTTCGAATGGCCGAGTGGAATCGATGACTTGGTTTGGTCCAGTCAAAGTAAAGTCACAAAAAAGAAAAAAAAAACTAAATTGGCTAAAAGAAAAGGAAATATTTATACGCAATTCCTTGATACAAAGTTGATGGTATAGTCATTGATGGCTTAAGCAGGTTATACTCTCTATGCAATAATTATAAATCGTTCCCGATTATCGTGACACACTGTTATGGTTTTGGAACGAGACTTCTGGAACAAGTCTTTAAGTCGGAGGCTTTTTCTTCAGGGCAGCAAATCACATAAGATCAGGCGAAGCGGTGGCTCTCGTTCCGTTTGGTCTTGTCTCCGCAGTCTCTCTCTCTCTCTCTCTCTCTCTCTCTCTATCTCTCTCTTGTCTCTACTCGGCGTTCTGTTTTTATGGACCCATGCGCAAGGGCTGGGGTGAGGCATGATGTGCTTCGGGTATGCCAGCGTTCCTCAAACAATCAATCACGGCTCTCCCTGCAAATATCTAAATATGGAAAGCCCCTCCTCTTTCCTTGGAATTCTACCTGGGCCTTCTCCATCCTTTGGTTACCTGATCAAACCCGTCTCCCTCCTGCTTTGTGAGTGAGTGCCTCTCACCATCACTGACCAAACCCGTCCTCCAAGGGTCAGGCGTGGTTTAACCCGAACGGTTAAATTTTAATTATCGTTCAAAATTCTTTCTTACCGTGCTTTTGTGTGTGGTTGTTTTCGCATCTGGGATTTATCATTTTTCATTCTCCTCGTTAGCCCTTTGGCCAACATGTTTCAAAAAGGGAACAATCGCTTGATCTGGGAAGTTTTATCACGTTTTGGCAAACGAAATACTTAATTGTCATTCTCCACATATTTTCTTCCGGGAACCCGTCTACTTTTAAAAGTTAATCCTTATCAATCGACCGAAATCACGACCAGAGGTTCGTCTTCCTCTCCGTCACTCAATGGTCGTAAAAATATTATCTATTTCTTTCCGGGAGGTCCTTGGGGATTATTAGAATTCTTGTTGACACCATTGAATTTGTTAAGGATATACTTGTTTTGGGAGTCAATTACTCTAAACATGTTGTTAGTACATGAATAACTTATTTTAATGGTTTTCTGTTGAAGGTCTTACATAGAGGGTTGTTATTCTGAAAATGTTTGTTTATAAATTTCAGGAAAATTTGTCCAATATTAATTCTAGATAATCTACGGTAGGTGGAGGGGTGAACTAAATAAAATTTCTTTTTCTGTTTTTGTGTGGATTACTACTCTTAACATCACTATGGTTATTTGTGGGGTTTAAGTAAGATAGTTTATGCGCAAAACCACTTTTCTGGAGGGCATTTTCGTACAATGCTTTATTCTTATCAAATTTATTCTTATTAAATGGCAGTTTATTGACAGTTTAAAGAACCAACGATAATTGGATCTTATTAATAGTAATTCACTATATATATATATATATATATATATATATAATTATTTATTTAAAAATATGATTCAACGCTACATAAGAGTTCTCATGTTTCAAAACTCTTATGTAGCGTTGGAATCATATTTTTAAATGAATAATTATATTTATGCTCTACTTTTGTATCGAGCACTATTTTTAAAAAATAATGACAAAAATACTAAAGAACTTTGGATTATTTACCTAACGAGTTATTTCCTATTTTCTATATATTTTTACATATATATATATATATATATATATATATTAAGTTTGTCAGATCCCTAAAATGAAAGAACAGGAGTGACAAGAATTGAAGGGAAGAGAGAGAAAGAGAGAGAGAGAGAGAGAGAGAGAGGCGAAGGGGATAGGCAAGATTTCGTTCGTGTTTATTTTATGTTTTTAAAAAATACAGAATTTAAACGTAATTTCAAAAAGAAAAATCATCGTTTCTCAAAATGCGTCTCGCATAAGTTAATGGGGGGGGCACGTCCTTCAGCATAAATATCTGGGATAATTCCGCATTTTGAAGGAAAAGTTGGAAACCATAACAAACATATATTCAGATGACGCTTGATAGAATTTGGCATCGATTACTATTTATTTATTTATCATAAAACATACTACAAACATTAAATATATCCGAACTAAAAATAAAATAGTAAAATAACTGATGACGTGAATAAAGTATGGCATTTGATTTGGCCAGATTAAAATGTAAAAAATCTATTTTTACTACGACTTAGCGGCAAATAAGGTTAAAGATGACCATAATTCAACTAAAATAGCTGAGATAATTCTGTTTGTTGGCTCAGTCGTAGTTTACCCACAATGATTCATCATACAATTGTGAGTTATCCCACTTGGCTTTGCCAAAACGCCTGCTAGAGGGCGCTTTTAAGCCTATGAAAAGACAATCATATTCTCCCCCCAACCTCTCTCTCTCATTCTCTAACTCTTGCTACCAGATGTAGACGACATAGATAAAGAACGCTGCCGACAAGGCGCATTCGCTTCCTTGGTCTTCTGTTGACTTTTGAACACTCTCACACACGCACATACACACACGTGTCTATCACACACGCTTATTACACACACACAAACAAGCACACTCTTATAACTAGTTTTAATGCTTTTGCTTTCATTACAATTGTGTACACATCTAATTCGCTAGTTCATTGGTTTGTGTTAAAATTCTCACATTGAGTCTGCTAATATTGTTTACGGAATAAATGTTCCAGGATGCCATAAATATTTAACATAAAATGTTTATACATATCACAACCAAGGAGATGATAGCCACGACATAATGGTAACTGCAATAATAGTCATCGCAATATTAGCGCTTTGCCATAGCATTCTGGATATTCACGCATAATTGTGTTGATGACTAATGAACTGATTCCAAGTCCCAAATTAACACACACACACACACACACACACATATATATATATAATAATTATTTTTTTAAAAATATGATTCCTTCGCTACATAAGAGTTCTCATGTTTCAAAAACGAGAGCCGAAAACCTCAATATAATTTTCGCTTGAGGATGAAACAGGGCTTGATACTTTAACTCATTTTAATTTTAATGATTATATTGAGGTTTTCGACTCTCGTTTTTGAAACATGATAACTCTTATGTAGCAAAGGAATCATATTTTTTTTAAAAATAATTTTAATTTAAGCTCTACTTCTGCATAATGAATTTAATGCAAAACATTGGCATTGCTTCTCAATCGATTTGAGACTATTAAGAAGTGTCTTCTACGCCCTCAAGAAATGTAATATGAATTTTGCTTTATGAGAATGTCAACAAAAATTTTATGAGACAATCTACAAAAACTGTTGTTTATGATCTGGGTCAACAAACTGGATTGTGGTATTGGATCATTCGGCGCGTCTAAGGAAACAAGCCCCCCTCCCGATACTATACGACCGGAATAATTGAATTTATCCCAAATAAAAGTAACGATGTTCGTATATATGATTCTTTTTTGTCACACCTCTATGAACAGCTCCTTCGTGGTTTAAAATTGTGATAATGACTTCGTCAGAAGTTTATATCCTTTTGTGTTGGAATGGTTCAAACTCGATACCAATGAATAGTGAAGGAAATAATTTCAGCTTGCAAGTGGTGTCGTCTATAGCACGCCACGCGCCTCCATCTTGTATTTTTTTTTTTTTTTTTTTTGCTTAAAATCCATGAAATCCGTAGAAAATGTTCTCAATTTTAATGAAAAACTAAAATTTAAAAAAAAAAAAAAGCCCCCAAAAACTTGTAATCCAAGACCCAATCGTACTGTATACGAATACATGGTGTGTGGGATCGTGTTATATCGGTCCTCCTCATCCTCACCAAACTGTTTCTTTCGTCATTTTTCTTTTTCTCCAATCCCTGCCAGTTTGTCTAGTTTTCCTTCTCTCTCTCACTCTGTCTTTGTTCTTTCTTTTCTTCTCCACTTTGTGTTAATATTTCTGCACTTGTGTTTTTTTTCCTATTAAGACTTCCATGACATGATCTCGACAGAACGATATTTTTATTTTTTATTAGTGCTTTCTTCGAAATAATTATCTTTCTTCATTAAAATAATCAAGAAGTTTCGATTTTTAACATTAAGATCAGCAGAGATCAATTAGCGTAGTCTCTCTCTCTTTCTCTCTCTCTCATCTTTCTCTCTCTCACACACACACGCACACATTCTTTCTATACGAATGCTTGTTGACGTCTCTTCATTTCTTTCAGGTTAGCTTCTCATTTTCTTTTACTTGTCAATCGGTCTCTCTCTTTCTCGCTCCTAATGAATGGTTATCTCTCCTCCTCTATTCCGGCCTGTTTCATCTTTTTAACTCTTTTGCAGCTAATTACTCTCCTCTCCATCTCCCCCCCCCCAACCAGGAAATGCTACTCACTCTCTTTTTCTATATGTAATGATCTTAACGTAATATGGCGCAAGGTCAAAAATACAAGGAAATTGATACAGGAAGATTGTATTGTGCCTATTCTCTCCAGTCGGAAATTTCTACTGGCTTTGAAAATCCTCATTCGAAATGCTGGCTTATTACCTGGACTCGAACACCAACCGCTGACGCCAATTGAAAATACGTTACTATTTAAATCATTAAGCAGTCTTAACTTATTTAGACACAAGGTTACAATTATGGGGAAGTCAGTGAGAATCGAACTTACTATTGATTGAGCAATAGGTGACTCCTTGTGAATACCATGTGCTGTGAAATTAAATATACGGTTGATGCAATCGATAAGGGATCGAAATTGTTAATCAGAGAGCCGAGTTTCAATTCCAGTCGGGTTCGTTATATTCGCTTACGTGAAAATACCATTGGGAAAGGTATGAATTTGCATTTTCCCATAACTATGGGTTAAATAGTAATACTTGTAGCACTAAATTATTATTATCTCCAAAATAAAAAAAAAACTTCTTACAATCTAAAAATAGTTTCTGGCTTTAAATAACCTACAATGGGTTGATAAGCCGTAAAAACCGAATCAATCAAGTTTGAGTATTGAGTACTAACAGATTTTGGTACGCGTCTGCATTCTATTTCTCCAAAGTAAGGTGCCTTCTCTCTTTATTTCTCTCTTAGTCTGGAATATGGTCGTTGTAACCTGAGAACCCAGATCGATTAACTCTCATTGGGTGCTCTATTACTGTGGACATGTTCCAGGCAGAGTAAAGGGCGCCTACCGTAGCTGTGCGATTAACAACTTTATATTGTAATGTAGTGATTTCATTTCTTAAGACTTAGTCGATGTCATGCTATTGGTCAAGCTAAACTAAACTTAGAAAATAACCATTTTGTGTAGGTACCTCCAAAAGCTCCGTAAAAAAAAAAAATGAGCATACATGATGAAAAACTTAATAAAAACAAAGGTTTATCGTCAAAATCTTTGTTATTATTAGGAGATAAGATCAAAGGATATTTTTTTATCTAAATTTTATTTTAATACTTTTTCGAAATTCTTCTTAAAAATCTTGTTTCTCTGGCGTCAACGTAAGACCAAAAATGTGAGCTATTTTTGCGATGAAATATACGGAATGCTTGAGAAAAGCAATAATAACAAGAAAAGTGCAATATGAACTCTGGTAAAAAATTTTTTTAGTGGAAAGTCCCAAAAATTCATACACTAATCTCCTCAAGGACACATGGCCTAAGTGTTGGTTGGATTCAGTAACTTGACCCTAAGTGTTGTAAATTCAGTACCTGGCTCATTCATTTTTTTAACAATAAAAACTTGGAGAGTTGAGTTAAGCGTAGATAACTGAGACATCCGGAAGAGGTGTGGTACGTGGAACTAGAACAATCTACCCCGGTGGACGAAATAAAGGGTTCAGTTCGAAATTCCAATCACCTGAAGAAGTCCAGAGCATACAACGGCTGAAACGTCGTAAATATGGCAATAAAGATGAGGACAACAGTCCGAACAATGTAAATAATATAGATGAAAAACACACTTGGAAATTCTTGCAAAAATCAGATAACTTGCAAATTTTAATGAAACTTCCACGAGTTATTCAGAAGTTAATTAAAATATTTTTGAAACGTTTCTGTTTTTAGAAAATCTTAGAAAGAATTAAAATTTTATGAATTTTCGAGAAATTCTTTTTTGTAAGGCTTAATTTTTATATTATCAGGAAAATTCCTCGGATAATTTAAATCATATTTTGGGGTCAAACAGGACATCCAGTTAAAGAAAACCTGCTCTGAATTGTAAAATTTTAAAAAATTCAATAAAATTAACAAATTATTTAATTAGGAAAGCTTTTATTTGCTTTTATAAATAAAATATATTATGGGTAGAATTGTCTTAAGAAAAAATGTTCAATTAAGGAATTTTTAAAAGAATGGTTTACATGTTTTTAAAATTTTAACTAGAATAATTTATAAAGTATTAAAATTCTGTTTTAATTTGTAACGGTCAAGTGAATTTGTCATTAAATAAAAATGTATTTACTAATCATAAATGTAAAAGACTACAAATTAGCGACCCCAATATTTTAAAAATAAATTTGATTGTGTGTGTGTGTGTGTGTGTGTGTGTGTGTGTGTGTGTGTGTGTGTGTGTGTGTGTGTATAGACGTGACTATTTTTGTAAATACGGCCGTCCATACACGACATTATCAGAAAATAAGAACCGTAACTATAGTAAATTTGAAATTTATTGGAATTTTCTAACATTTTCACAAAAACCGTCTTTGTAAGCAATATTATAAAAACAAAGTACCTAAAATTCAATATGATATTAGGATACTTCGAATATTGAAAACTTTTATTAATGGGTAGTTACAAAATATCTAAAAAAAAAAAAGAAAAAAAAAAAGGCGTTTATGCTGTATTCGTCATGTAATTTTAATTATCTCCTCCTTAGATAAATTTCCCGAACATCAAACTGTCGATAAATGTGTCAACACCTCATAAAAACACTTACCTCCGTGTTAAAAATGCTTTTCAGTGATATTTTAAACTAAAAGTAATATTTGTCGAATTCAGATTAATTAAACTTTCAATCAGTTAATTTTACTCAAATAACGTTTCAGAAAAGTATATTTTATTTTGGAAAGATTTTTCAAAAAAGAGAATTATGTTGTGTTGACAGATTTGTCAATGTGGATGATTTTATAGATTTTACTGATAATCAGAAAAAAAAATAATTCCAATCAATTCAGATTTAGTTTGAAATACTGCAAAGTGTTTTGCTTATAGGAAATATTCAGTTTAATCTATTAACTTGGAATTAAAACAAAAATAAGAACTTCAAGAAATATTTTTCATTTTTCAAATACATAAACTTTCGCTTTTTTGGAGGTATCTACTGTGTGGCTTTCCCTCTCTCTCCCCAGATGCTAGAGAGTCTTTCGTTGTTTTTTCTTAAATATTGAGATACGGCTAATAAATAAAATAATAATAATAATAATAATAATAATAATAATAATAGATTAGTTTACAAAGTTCTGTTAGTTACGTACGTCACATGCTGACTTCTGAGTACCTTTTAATCTTTTCCTCATAAATCTATGAATTTCAGAGTTACCTCCCTTACACTGGTGAATTTACCATTTGTAAATATACACACACACACACACACACACACACACACACACACACACACACACACACACACACACACACACACAAAAACATAAAGAGTGCTCAGTACCGGAGATACAGCGTTTATAGATTTATTTATTGAATGACCCTCGTATAATAGTGTGCGCATAAGAATAATTGTCTGTTTTATTTGAAAATGACAGTCAAAAAACCGTGATGATTGCTATGACCACATTCTATCTCTCACTCGCAATAAAAAGATATTGGCCAATTTTTCTGGTTTCTGGTGAAAATTTGAATATCTGGTGTTTGAGTAATTTCAGCTATTAAAAAGCTAAAAATATTCAAATGATTTAAACACACACACACACACACACACACACATTGGGTGCGATGGACAAATTGTCGTCTAAATTACGCAAAAGTGAAAATAACACTGGCATCTCATTTTAACAGATATATTTATCAAAATTACACAAAAAAATCTTTAAATACTAAAGAGTAAATTTATTCAATAAAATCGCCGTCGGCTACAACCATTGCCTCCAGACGATTTCGGAATCTCCTGCAACTCTTCTGGGCGGTCCTTTTATTTAAGTTGGTGAATGCTGCCATAATCCTTACGTTCATGTTTGGTCTCTCGCTCAACTACATCACACACATAATAATCAAAGGGGGGTGCAGTCTGAAGATTTAGGTGGTCAGATGTAAGGGGTGATGTGGCCGCAGAAATTGTCTGACAGCTATGATTGGGTTCTCCTGCTTGTGTGGCATGGTGCAGAGTCCTGTTGCCAGACATAGGGTCTTCCAGCAGCCACTCTCTTGACCCAGGGCAGCACTACCCCTTTAAGGCACATGATGTAGGCTTCTGTGTTAAGTTTGAGGCCAAACTCAGGAGTTCTTTTCTTATCAGAACGATCAGAGTGAGTTTTCTGAGCTGCCGTACCTTCGTGATCACCATTAGCAACTCTTTCCGAATCTTCTGCACTGTTCTCAAATTGACACCCAAACACTGAAATGTACGCATTGAAGATTCCAGCGCAAATGCCATGCAGTGCGGCATACCGTTTCCAAATTTCTGTCGGAGTGAATTGTGTCATAGTCCTCTCACAGACGATGCTCAACTGACCCTACCATACTGTGCAGTATAATGTGTGTGTGTGTGTGTGTGTGTGTGTGTGTGTGTGTGTGTGTGTGTGTGTGAGTGTTGATTTAATAGGCCGGTTAATAAAATTAGAAGAATGAGAAACGAACAAGATGATACCAATATTGGCAATAAAACTGATATTTATTACATATTAACCTTTTGACTGCATTGAAGCACGAAGAGAAAGATTTTAATGTCGACTGTAGTCTTTATCAAAGTGAGACTTCCGATGAATGTTGTTGGTTTGAGGTCTACTTGTGGAAATTATAATCTTTGAATAAACCCGAGTTAATTTTTCAACGTGTAAATTTATTTTGAAAATAAATTTCAACCCCGATCTGCGTTTTTCTTCTCGGCTGTTGAATGAAGACGCTAAAAGCACGCATCTGATGTCATCGACGCTATAAAACGGTTGGTTGAAGTGTGCAGCGACAGAGAAATTGTTGTTGTTGTTGTTGTTCCGGATGTTTTTTTTTTTAATGATTATTGAACCATAGACGGAATTCTGTTCCAGTTTCTCCAACATAATTTCATTTTTTTTTCTTTTTGCATTTATGGCAGAAAAGTATATAAGATTTGAATTGTTACAATTCAGAACCAGTAGTTTGAATACTACGTGAGTGCCACAGCGTGTAAAATTGCTATCAATGATGATATGCCTACACACTTAGCATCGGGGTTTATAGCGGATGGTATTCCCTTGGTGAGGTAGT